TTTTCCTTCCTTTCGAAGGGAATCTCTCACTCTCTCTCATAACTTCAATCATCACCGGATCGTTACGGGAAGATCGCGCAGAGAAAGGGGGAGAGCCGATCTATAATCTTGCTGCAGCCCAACCAAGATCAGTGCGACGAGGGAGCTTGGGACATGTAGCCCCTCGATGGCTGAGGCTGTATAGGCACGGGCACGGGGCCTCTCACGCATAAACGACTAACTAACTAGAGAGCATAAGCCGGGGGCACATGCATCTCTATTCAAGCGCGGGCCTATCTCCGCTGGGGAAACTGATATCTACTAGACTGATGTTATATAAGGGCCGCTAGGCAAGGCCGAGAGGTTCCAAGACCAACCACCGACGAACATAGAGTCCGCCGTGAAGAGCGGCGGAATCTATACTCAAATGAAGACAGGGCGGAATACTTCCCCAGTTCCCCTCAACTTTGTTAGACTACCTCTACAATACATTTTCACAACTGCCTGCCCACATACCAAAATAACAGGGACAACCTGAAGTCAGCAACCGTCCTATACCCAAGCAATGGGAACATAGTCTATACTTAGATTAGACAGATGCATCTATTTAGCAGCTACGGTTGCCAATTGACGTAATCCATTATAGTCATCTTTTCAAATTTGCTCCATATTCATTCATTGGTGATAGATTTATTTCATATGAATTGCTTCGCAACCGGCCTATGTTAACGCCCGAGTAAATGCACGACTGCCTATCTATTTACCAAATCGTGAAAGCCAGATTGTGTAGGTATTCGGAAGGAGCAAGTTCCCTAGTTCCCCGAGCCATTCATTCGATCATCCAATTCCTGTACAAGCATCAAGGCGGACAGACAGACAGACAGAGAAATAGTGAGGGAGCCACAAACAAGCCATCCGGATTTACATTTTCGTTGCATACTTAGCCACAAACCGGCCTATTCGTTCCTATGCGAAAAATATGCATCTCGCGCTACACGTTTCAACTTGCAGAGGGATGAGAATGAAATCACTCGGCCGCAGTAACAGTGACATTGGCATTCTTCGCATCTGCAGCCTCCTGCGCTCTCTTCTGCGAGTCAAGAACAGCTTGGAGCTCCGGTGGCGCCTTGAAACCCGCGTGGTCAGAGTGCTTCTTGTAGAAGTAGTTATCGGGCTTGGGCCGTAGCTCCGCGGGGAGCTCGCCGAGCACGGCCTCCAGCATGCCGTCGATCGAAGCCTGTTTCGACGAATCGCGGTGCCAGATCGAAATGAGGTGTGAGTTAAACCGCACGGAGAGCCCTACACCGCAGATCTGGTCTCCTGTACCACACGGCGTTAGTACTTGCCCTTGACAAGCTGTTTCGCAAGGATTAGGTAGATAGTTAAGTTTACCTTCTGCCAACGCTTCCTGCAATGTCTCGCCGATAGCCATGAGCTGGATTCGTGTCCAGAAATCAGGGCCAACGCTCTTGGGCATGCGGAACGTCCAGCTGCCTCCCTGGATGTTACGGCGGTCCTCCCAGATGGGCCTGAAGCCGCTCTTGAACAAGTATAAGGATTCGCGCATCTTGATCTGATCGACAGGGGTGTTGTTGTTGTACCGCCAGAAATCCTGAACCGATTCAATCTGGGTGCCTAGCTGCTCTAGGGAGGCCTGGTAATTGCCGTCATCGGGCTTCTGTTCCTTTGATGGCCTAGCAAAACGACCAACAAAAATTAGGGAACCGTCTTCTTCTTCATGTGTGTGTCATTGTAGAAAAGAGGTTCAAAAACACGCCACTTACCGGTCAAACCAGACATTCCAGTAATGCTGGGTAGGAAGCGGTCGCATAGTCTTGAGGAAGTTCCGCTTCGCATCGTCTCGTTGTTCGGCGGGCGAGCTGACGCTAGGGGAGTTGGGGTCGGTGCTCTGGGAGAGGGACGAGAGGCCCCTCGTGAACAAGCCCGGTCGTGTGGCCATGATGGATGAATATGAAGAATTACCGAATTACAGTTCAATTCAGAAAGAAGAACTGTCTATCTGTCTGCTCTAGTCGGGCTGACAGGTGATGGTGGCAGTGAGTGACGGTGACCGTTGATGGTGATAGTGATGGTGGGGTTCTTGGGGCGATTCGATGTTGCCAAGCCTCTAAATATGCAAGGCGATGGAAGTGATGAGCTGGGTCGCAACTCACAATGGTCCGTTGTGGTGAGGGAGCAAAGTGCAAGATGCGGACAAAAGACGGCAACACACACTTACACTCACAACTCAGGTGACTTGATCGCTTAGGCTCATTCAGGTTCAGCTGCCGTTGTCTGTTGTCTGTTGTCCGTTGTCCGTTGTGGGAGAAGTAAACTGTAAAAGGGGAAAGAAGGCAGTTCAAATACGAAACGAATCAAAGAAGTCAGTCTTGAATCTCAGCGGCGGCAACCAGCCACATTGGACCAACCACATGGAGGATCACCGCGTCTGTAAGGGGAGGGCGCCATGGCAATAACTTGAAACAGCAGTCGACAGTTGGACCAGGGGTAAATGTGTTAGCTACTTCCTTAGGTACCTACCTCCTCCCTCCTACCTCCTAAGATAGATACTATCTAGGTAAGTTACTTGCCATGATGCAGCAGCTTAGGTAGGTACTTGTCTACCTAGTCTAGCACTACGAGAAGAATGATAGGTGGAAAGCAGACAACGATGTGCGGTGACATAACCTCAAGTACGCATGATCTTCTTCTGTGCTACAAAGAAAGCACACTTCTCTCCATTTCCCATCCAACCAAGCCATCTCTAATAAGGCTGGAGAAGCAAGCTCTCCCCCACTTCGGCAACTTTAGGCGGGCTGCTGCTGGATGCTGTAGCCCCTAGATAGATGGAGCCCATAAGGAGTGGGTACAGGTGCTACGGGTGCTACACGAGATACTACAGGGACCTACGTGCGGCGGGTAAAGGTACGTTTTAGGTACCTACTACCTAAACTCAGCATGGCGAGGACATTGTGATACAATACTACCTATTTTAACGATCAATGACCACGTCCATTGCATTTTCTTGTATTGCTTCATAACCACCGATCGGAATCAAGATATACTTGACTAGTATAAAGCTAGGCCTAGCCTGATCCATGTAATAATGTATTACCCGTTAAACCATACCCTCTCCCCAAATCTGCCAAAGTGACACAGGATCAATGACCTGTTAGTGCAGTTCTAAATGATAGATGGCATCTCCATGAGATTTCATAACCCCTCGAATATGTTCCTGTTTTATTCGAAGTTCAGAAAAGTTGGAACAGGGCAGCTTCGAGGCAGCGAGTTGCCACGACTCAACCACAAGAGGACTTAGCTCTAGATGCCATGTCCCGCGCCAAGTAACCGAAGCCCTGTCTCCGTCTATACGATATATGAACGTGCAGGCATATATGTGCCTTTCCACCACCATTCCAAAGCACAAATGTGTGTACTAGCTTTAGCATCTTCTGTACAAGGACCCCGGCTCGGCATAGCAAAGCCTCAATCCGGTTGCGCTTTTCCCAATCGTCCTACAGGAGCTACTATGTGAGCGCCAAAGATTGCAGATGTAACCAGCTCTGCGTCGACCGGTAGTGTCGAAAGAGTTCTTCGGCATGAGCCATGAAGGAGATAGCAAGGTGTTGTAAGTTAAGACTTTTAGATGAGAAAACCGTACCAAGTCTTTCGCTAGAATCCCACAACTCAAACCAGTCTCTATGAGCCGGCCGCTTTGAATATAAATCATAGAATTTATAGGAGTCCTCAAATACTATTATTAATCTATTGAGAGTTTTCTAGGAAATCTTTTCGCATTGTAAAAGCAAGGTCTATTTTAAAACGTGAGCTATAAATAATTATGATACATTTATTATAATGAAAGGATAAAATTCGGAATTCCTACGAGAGGCGTGAGAGTACATACCTCGCTTGTGGAATTCTCTATTCGCAGCTTCATATAGCGCCCATAGCTCGTAGGATATACGCTCTAGACGATTGAATCTGCTGATTAACTGGCCCAATTCCAATGGACAAATACAACGCCGGAATTATCGACGGATAGTTAGGCAGGTGACTGCCTTAACTCGCGGCAGTATTTCTCAGAACTCTAACTGGATGGGTCGGAAGAGTCGTAGCATAGCTGTTCTTAGGGGACTTTTAACTTGCTGACCATGTCATGATACCAACTTCTAGTCCTCCACTTATCCGGCATTGCGTCTTCATAACCCTCAACATCATCGGAGGACAAGTATATGTTCTTAAATCAATGTTCGCAGTCGCTAGGGGAGTATACATTGATCTCCAATGCCAAGTTATTCGCTGGTCTCCAGGTACTGAGAATAGAGACAAGCTTCCATATCGCATCACTGGCGATAGAGCTGATCTTTACTGGCGGCGAACGTCGTTTTGAGAATAATTCCTCTCTTTTGTAGCGGAGCAATATGTCCGAACGCGTCAAGACAAGGCACTCGCAGCTTTGCCTTGTAGCAATTGCTAAAGCGTGCTACCATGCTCTGCATATAGACGCAAGCGAAGCCTAGCTAGGATGTTTCTGATACGCGATTGTCGCCAAGATTGTGAGGCGAATCTCCGCAAGGAAAGATATCCATGCCAATGCTTCTGACCTCGTTTGGCTGCGCGTTATAGAAGCAGCAGACGGCAGACACATGAACTGGCATCAGAAAGAGGCTGAGGGCTGCTTTATAGGAAAGGTTTGCCTCAACACCCAAACAGGTACCTAAGGAAGGCAAAGCTTAAGAAGTCCAATATCTTGGCTCGAGGTACTTACACCATAACTTCCATGTAAAAGCTTTTTTTGCTTGATGGTAGCCTCACTTAGCACACCCGACAAAGTTAAAAGGATGGGGGGTACGTAGATGCGAATAAAAACGGTTGCTTTCAAGGTTTGTTACAGTTAAGCCACGTTACTAAGAACACGTACCAGACATTAAGAGGGAGTCAAAGGACTAACATTTTCTAAATATATTTTATAAAAAATAAAATAAATATTAAAATGTAATGAAGGAACATCTAGTTAAAGTGCCGAATGGGAATTGAACCCATGACCGATCGGACTGCAGCCGATTACTCTACCTCTGAGCTACCAGCACCAACATCTCGGGGTATCTTGTGCCCGATGCGAAAATTCGGGATTTAAAGGGTATTATATGAGCTGTTCGAGGCCGGCCTCGGCAAGGAATGATCTATCCATCCAGTTTAACATGTCGTACAATAGGCCAAACTAGAGTGCGTTACGAGTAATAGAACATGTATTGTCTTAGAGCTATAGAAATCCTGGTCCAAGGCACTGGGATAACCATAATTATACGGCTAAGCATTCCAACACGTGTGATTAGTATAGTCTTACTGCAAATCAGCACAATTTGTGGCCAATGGTTATAAGTATATTAAAATGTTATGATGCATAGCTGAGTCACAGCATTAGTCTATTAACATCCTGCCTTAACACATAGACCTCTCTCCCTCCCCCTTTCGGTATTTACACCGCCATTTTGACCGACTAATTACTGCGGGCCTCAACTTCTTCAAGCAGACACGCAGACGTTGTAACCAAGCCACAGAGTCGAGCAGTCGGAGCCAACCTGCGGGTTCCACTTCAAGAACTGGGCGGCCGTGATGCTGTACTGCTTCTCGATCGTGTCACAGGTGTTGCCGCTCACCACCTTGTGCCAGCGCTTGCAAGCGCAGACGGCCCCCGGCTGAGTGGGTGTCGGCGCGCTGGTGCAGCCCGTCGGCGTTGTGGTCGGTGGGCTGGTGGGCGTTCCGGCGATGCCTTGGAAAGGATTAGTAGCGGAATCAGAAAAGGGAAGAACAGTTGGGCAGCAGGAAGCCGAGATCGTGGATGGAGGGCACTGTCGAGACACAGCTTACCGATACAGTAGTTATATCCCAACCACAGCCCGGAGCAGTCGGGGCCCACGGCCGGGTTCCAGCTCAGGAATTGTGCGAGCGTAAAGGTGCCGTATTTGGACACGATGTTGGAACAGGTGTCGCCCGAAACGGCCTTGTGCCACCGCTGGCAGCCACTGACGATGCCGGTCTGCGTCGGCACGCTAGCTGTCGTCGTGGTGGTCTGTGGGGGGCTTGTGGGCGTTCCGGGGACCGCGACACAGTAGTTGTATCCGAGCCAGAGGCCACCGCACGTCTCGCCCACGGCAGGATTCCATTTGAGAAAGTCTGCGAACGTGAAGGTGCCATACTTGGCGACGATCTTGCTGCAGTCATCGCCAGACACGGCCTTGTAGTAGCTCGTACAGGTGGATATGATGCCGTCCTGGTGAGGCGACGGCACAGAGCTGGTCGGTTCGGACGGGCTGGTGGTCGTCGTCGTCGTTGTAGTCGGGGGGAGGCCATAGTTACGCTCTACGCAGTACTCCTGGCCGACCTGGATTCCAGAGCAGTCGGCACCAACCGTGGGATTCTAAGAACACCCCATCCAAGTCAGGTCAGCCTACATTCTTGGGCGCTTTCACGGTAATTTCTCTTACTTACCCATGCGATGAAGTCTTTCACACTGATACCCCAGTTGTTAGCAAAGTACTCGCAGTCCTGGTCTGCGCTGGTGGCCGTGTCGAAAAAGGTGCAGTCATCGGGAAAGCCCTGTCGGCGCACACCTGGGACATTTCCCCTCGACCAGTACGGACGGTGGGCCGCACCCGCGAGGGCAGAGGAGGTGAGGCCTACCAACAGGAAGATTGCCGAGGAATACATCTTGACGAACAGTGAGAAAGGAACCGTCACAGCGAACAACCGCCCTGGAACCCTCGATTGCAGCGCCCAATTTACGCCCTTTTAACATTGGCTCTGTCCAGTGTCGACCAACCCCGAAGGACTTTGAGAAATGTGACGTTCCAGTCTGACGGGCGGTGTGGTTCGACAGCTAGCTCATCATGGTTCGTTCTCTCCATCGCATAATACCAACATCATTCCGAGATGCCATGGTATGGTTCTCGAACACGTCGGGCTCTTCGAGACGAGTCGTTGATATTGCCAAGATCAGTAGTCCAATTCCTTCGGGCTCCAAACTCGGCCGCCTGTGCTCGCAATATGCTACCTAGTTAGGCAGTCAGAGCGTGCGGCGTTGCGTCTCATCTTGGCATTGGTAAAGTTTTATTCTTATTATTCATGGCAAATGTCGGGCGGTGGTGTTGTGAAGCTGACGGCCGTGGAAGTGCCGCACAACCGCATGGACCTGACTTATAACAATAATCAGCTGGATACTTTTGCAGCCTTGGCTGTTGGTACTTTGGAAATCAGAAGCCTCGGAAGCGTTGTATAGCCTTGGTAATAAGGGGCGCGGCGGCCAGCCGGCCCCATTTCCGGGACAATATGGAGCACTAATTGTATAAAATCTGCGGCGAAAATCTGGGAATAGTTATTTAGGAGCACTTGGCAACTAGCCCCCAAATCAGTGTTATGCCCATTTCGATTACATCGAATCAACCTAGCACGCACTACCACGCCTTTTTGGTGCCAAGTATCTGGCATGGCAATTGAGTAGGTCACACCTTTTCTAAACCCAATTAAGTGAATTTGACTTATGGCGACGAACAGACCCTAGGACAGATTCAACTGGGAGTTGGAAGTTGTGACTTGAGAGGAGAGAACTGTGGATAGGTAGACTCCGAAAGAGGTATCTAATTGTGAGTACTTACATGTACAACAATGATATGATCTACTCGTACATGCAATTACTGGGTTGGCTAATGGTAGTTGTGGAAGCCGACCACCCTGCATCTCCATGCCGCCTTAAGCCTTGGTGGTCTTCGGCTGCTCCTGGTCCCAGGCCCAGTGCGGGCTCAGACAGTACCAGACCCCGACCTTGAGCTTGCTGTCACACTCGGCCGCAGTGCCCAGGGACGGGTTAACCTCCAGGAACAGGTCCATGGGTGTCGAGCGGCTAGCCCCTACGATCATACTGGCGCAGCCGACCGATTCCTCCGCCTGGATGTAGAAACCGCAGTTCGGCGTGGTGCCTTCTCCCACTTCCCCATCTGGTGCATCGACGATGACGTCCGAATAGCCGTTCCCCGAGCCCCCCTGACCGCCCGTGTTTCCATTGCCAGTACCTCCATCGCTGCCGCTGCCCCCGTCATCGAAGGGGCCACCGGGAGCACTAACGCAGATGGTGCGGCCCCAGAACGGCTCGGTTGCCCAGATGTTGGAGCAGCGCGAGTCGAGCATGAGGTTCCAGGCGATTAGATTCATCCACGAGGTGCCAGCGTTCACGGCCACTTCGACACAAGTCTCGCCTTCTTGGACGGTATAAGTAGTGCAAGTCTGGGGCAGGCAGAGCTCGAGTCCGGCTGGGATTTCCTTGCAGGCCGGTAGGTTCGCGTTGATGTAGTATAGCGACGCCGCCGAAATTGAATTGGCCACGGCGATACTGTCACAGCTATCGCCCGTCTTGGTGATGATGGTCTTTCCGCTGAAGCACGCCCCCGCGTGCGAGCCATTGTTGGCCGGTGGTAGCTTAATAGGGGTCGTTGGACTGTCAACGTCACATTCTTGCTGACAGTTAGTTGCTGCCAGCATTCTGGACTATGCGGTGGGCGGCGGCAGAGCACTTACCTTTGTTCACGTATTCAAGCGTCTCGGCATAGAGTTCGTCGTATGCTGAGTACTCGGACTTCTGCATCAGGCGGAGCTTGGCGCCGTAGCAATATGCGCACAGCTCGTCTTTAGGCATGGCCTCTATGTTCTCAACCTCTTCCCATGAGTCGATTATATCTACCACGGATTTCGGTTAGACGTGGTTCTAGGGGAAGAGTAGGCAGGCCCACCATTGCAATATTGGCCTGATGCTGTATCTTTGATGCACGTTTCGTTCCAGCCGGTCGTGATGGAGTCGATTGCCGAGAGAACAGTCATGCCGGGTAACAATTCTGGCGTGGCAGCACAGGCACCCGCGATGCGTCTTCGGGCTGTGGTCAACGCCGTCTGGCAGGTGGCCGCACAGACGGCGTTGGTGAGCGCCAGGCTCTCGAGAGAGCCGTGATATTCGCGTTGGCCTAGAGTCGCGACTGTCTCGTCGCAGTTGATTGTCTGCCCAAGGACCGCTAAACAGGTAGAACTAACGTTGCTCAAGTCGAGTAGCTGCTGAGGTACCGCCTGGAAGCCGATGGCTCGCATCCCCAAAAGCGACTTGAGAGAGAGGGGACTTCCCCCGACTGTAGTCCAAAGGAGAACGGCCATGAGGAGCTGCTGGCGTAAAACTGAAGAGAACATATTGGCAGGTTGAGCGCCGTTCAGCTGCTCTGTGTCTCTGAGTTGACGATGGCCGAGAGCATAGAATGCGAACCAACTCAGATCTGTCGCTACCGGGTCGTAAGTATCTGAAGTCTAAATGTCGAGAGCCGCGTTATGCATGAGAGCCACAAGGATAGGTAATTACCATGTATAGGTGCCCAGGATATAATCCACACACCGATTCGGAAATCGTTGGCTGGCTGGGTATCATCTGTAGCGGACCCGTCAGCAGCCATGGTCTCGAAGGGTCCTGTGGCCTTTTCCCGACGGTGTGGGATGCATGTAAGAGCACGTCTTACCCCTGAATCCCCTACATAGCTAAGCTCGACCACTGGGTAAAATGGGGCATGCAGCCATTCCACTGCATCCTTCACAGCTTGCCCGGTCTAGTTGCGGGATACCAGCATCAGGAAAAAAAGTAAAAAAAGAAGGGCCGTTTCCTGTTAGTATTCAAAGCCTTGGCAATCTTCCTGGTCGAATGCCTGTCGGGTCCGAGAGTTCTAGTTCTTGGAATAGCAACGAACTACATGCTGTTGTTGGCGAATCAGGGGTAGCAAGCTCTCGCTCTGCCAGACTGCATATCATATTTCATACCTTTCAAATAGCACGCTTGGTGGTAGCGAGTATCAAACCAGCAGCATTCCCACCTCATCTGCGATATTCGGTCCTTGCTGTCGCCTCTACTCGGTGACTACAATCACCTCTTGACCGGGAAATATGCACAAGTTCTTTATCATCCTCTTCTGTCTTCTCTGCTCTGTGCAGCTAGCGGCCCAGCAGGAGCCGCAGTGCAGTACTTCGAAGCCATGCCCCGAGGGATGCTGTAGTAGTGCTGGGTGGT